TTTTTTTAAATGCATTGTTTACGTGCATTGTTGTGCATTTATAAACAAATACATATAAAATACATTTTTTAAATACATTTTTGCATCTGAAGTGTATTGTAAATGTAAATATTTATATACACCTTTTAATCACATTTATGCAATTTAATCAAATGCTTTGTGCACTTTTAGATATAATTGGTTATATATGGAATATGCAATTTAAAATGCACTTCTGCAAAGTATATTTGGAGTCTGGTTACTCTTCTACCAGGTACGAGGAAGCCATGAGTTTCAGAAGAAAGATCTCAGATCAATCACACGTCATCTGAACACTCACCTGCTTCACGGTGTAGGCGATGTGCGCGTAGACGTCACGCTGCGTGTAAACGGAGTAAGTGTCGGTGCTGCTGTCGGTGAAGCTCTTCAGGAACAGATGCCTGAACGCCATCAGATTCTCCTCCTTAAACTGAACCACCATCTGATTACTGAGACCAAACAACACCAGCTACACACACACAAAGAGAGAGCAGTCTGAATTTCACCAATTTATTCTGTCTCGACCAACATTTCTGGCTGTAATTCCTCCTCCTGTGGTGATACCTGAATGGTGACCACAGCGATTTTGACGATCTGCAGTATCAGTTTCCAGGGTTTTCTTCCGCGAGCTTTGTACTTGTCACAGGGGTTCATGAAGAAATACTTGAGCTTCCTCCTGAACTTCTCCTGCTCCTGGTGAGCGTGGGATTCGGGCCAGTGGACGGCTCTGTTGCCGTTGGGATCGTTTATGCATAAATAGGCCTCACTGGAGTCGTCCATGTCTGAAAAACCAACACAATCATCTGCCTTAAAAGCCATCATTCACATTTATTAGTTTAGGAGATATATTCTTACCTTAGGAAACTTGTCTGTATGCTTGGAATCTAAGATTGGAGTGAGGATGGATCAGGGTTATTATAGTTAAAAAAGTTCAAACTTACAGTACTAAAATGAATAGAAATCTATTCTAAATTAAAAAAATTAGAAAAAAAAAAAACTCGCAATAAAATTACGAAAACTAAATTACAGTGGAAAGATAAAATGTAAAAATAAAATAGTTTAACTACATTTTTTGTTTATATATATATATATATAGTATCAGTTATACTAAAATACTATTCTCAGCAGCCCTAAAGTGTATTCATCTATCATTTATTTTAAAAATATATTTAAAATAATTTTATTAGAGGTCTATTTCATAACTTTTGTGTCTTAAGTTTTGATGTATTCCATAAGATCATTTACAGTGTTACATTAATATTTTGTACATTATTTACAGCAGCTTTTGCATTAAATTTGCTTTTATAGGTCTTTTTTGTTTTTACATTTTGCCTTTATAGGCCATTAAACGGCCATAATTGTCCAGAATGAGAATTTATTTCAATGAACTGATTGCACTCAAGTATTTTGGCATAAATTCATAACCCAATCTTCATTTTATATATGGTTAGAAAAAAAGTTCAGTAATACAAAAGTACAAAAGCCTTTGAAAATCAATTCCACACACACACACACACACACACACGCTCTCTCTCTCTCACACAC